TAGAACAGAATTCCTCAGAGGGCACCAATTTTTGGCACAAAATTCCCAAGGAAATCACAGCACAAGGGAGGGTCAGACCGGGCCAGTGCTGCCACCAGTGTCCCACGGAGCAGTGCCACCAATCCCCAAAACAGGAGCTGTGGTGCTGGAGCTCACCCTGGGTCAGGGGTTGGCTCCATATGGTGGAAAAATCTCTCCTCCAAGCCATGCTTCCAAAAAAAAAGCTCAGAAGTCTTCTGTTGTCCTGTCTCAAGGCAGTTTATTGCAAGTTATCTAAAAGATTTTCTTCTGGGGCTGCTGTGGTTTGCTCACAGCTCAGGCAGAGGCACACACACACCCTGACATCCTCTCTGACTCCCGACTGCTTCTTCTCTCCCCCTCTGCCCAGGGCTGCTGCTGTCTTTTATATGGTACATTACGTGTTACATGGTTACAGTTTTTCCCCAATGCCTATTACCTATATTAAATGGTTCCTTTCTACTCTAAACCAATCTGTGAGTGCCAACATCACCAAGAACATGGAGGTGAGGAAGGAGAAAGAGGGAGGACAGGGCAGGCCCAAATCCCTCCATCTTAAAACCTCTGACCCCCATGTACAAAACCAAAACCCCCTGTACAACACTCAAAAATTCTTCCCTTTACTTTGTGACTACTTCTACTATAACATCTAAACTTTTGTGATGTCTTGTTCTTCCTGCAAGGTTGGTAAATCGTTCCATGGTTCAATCCCAAAATCACAGCTGTTTCCAGCTGCCTGCCAGGGTCTCAAATGCTTCTGACCTGGGCCTGGAACCTCCAAAAATGTCTGAGGGACATTTTGAGTTCCAACACTGTGGTAGCACCCAAAGCACGTGGAGGGATGAGCACCCACAAAGGGCTGTCACCACACACAGAGCAGTGCCACCAACCCCCAAAACAGGAGCTGTGGTGGCACCCAAAGCATGTGGAGAGATGAGCACCCACAAAGGGCTGTCACCACACCCCACAGTGCTGATGGCTTCATCTGCCCTGACATTAGATAAAAGGCTTGTTCTCTAATTTGTTGGGATAGGGTGGCTGTGGACAAGATCACCACACACCAAATTAGCTGACAACACAATTAGCAACACAATAATCTCAGGTTTAGCCAGAGAACCACCTCGGCCCAGAATATTCTGCAAACTCTGCCAGATTTCCTTGCTTACCCTGGAAGTTTCCTCCCCATTAATCAAGACGGCCTCACCAGCCAGACAAAACCTGAAAGGGCACATCCAGATCTCTCACTGCAGGAAAATGAAGAGTTCAGGTTGTTGCTTTGATGAGTTTGCAGGAACATACTCAAGTCTGCTCAGGCAGGAGGTTTAGATCACATTTTAGGGAGAAATTCCTCCCTGTGAAGGTGGGGAGGGTGCCCAGAGCAGCTGTGACAAGGCCAGGCTGGACAGAGCTTGGAGTGACCGGGGATGGTGGAAGGTGTCCTGCCATGGCAGGGGTGGAATGAGATGATTTTGAGGTCCCTTCCAACCCAAAAACCATTCTGGAATTCTGGGATTTTATGAAATTGGATCTTCTGGGAAATCCTCGGTGATCCAGGCTGGGAAGAGCCTGGCCTGGTGTAAAGTGTCCCTGCAAGGCTGGGACAGAGCCCAGAGGCTCAGGAACCCTCCCAGACTCTGCAAATCCCTGTTGGCCTTTCTGGCAGGGCAGGGATTTCACTCCTGTCTCCAGGGGCTGAGCTGGATGTTTCCTGCAGGAGCCAAAACCACGCTGGAATCCCCAGCAATAATTAACACAAATCCCCAGGGGCCAGACCAGAAAGGGATCAGCAGCAGACAAGGAAACAAACTCCTGTATTTTTATCTACTTTATGCAGGTAATTTGGTCTGATTTGTACCACCACAAGCACAAGGCTTTTAGGGAAGGCTGAGGTTCAAGCAGGTCTGGAGCAGGAGAATGGTAACCCTGAGGAAGCCGGCAATTAAATGTGGTTGTGTGCCTCATCTTTTATTTTATAGGCCTGATTTTAAGGCATTGGGAGGTTTTTCTGCTCAGTGCAGAAGTGTCAGCCTGCAGTTGGTAAATGCAAGGGTTAGGTTTATAAATAAATTTATTCATCCACATGAAGTGTCTCATTTTTAAACCCTGTTCTAATAGGAAAGTTAAAAGAGTTTGTGGGGTTTTTTGGGGGATTTTTGGTTGGTTGTTTTTTTTTTTTTGTCTTTATTGGTTCACTTTTTGTTCCTGTTTCAGTAATTTGCTTTTCATTCCTTGCTAAGGACAAGCCAGAGGCTTCTCCTGAGTCAGGGAAGGAAGCAGCAGGAGCAGGAAGCTCAGGAGGAAGCAGAGCCTCGCCTCCCTCAGCAGCAGGGCGTGATAAATCAAACTACAGCCTCCTTTCCATGAAACCCTGTCCTGCTCCTCAGAACTGAGCTGTTCACCCTGAATTCAGCCACTTCTTGGAGGTTCTTCCCTCTGGAAACGCCAGCGTGGCCTGGCAGGGCCCCTCAGGCCCGTCTTGTCTCAAGGCAAACAAAACTCGATTATCAGCGAATCTGAAATGGATCGTGAGGCAAATCCTCCTCCGTTTGATAACGAGAGTGTGTCAAAGGCAAAATGAGGCATTTATACAGCACTGAGCCTTCCTCTGCAGCCAGGGCGGGCTGAGGGGGCTGGGAAGGGTTTGGAGAATCCTGAGGGAGCTGGGAAGGGTTTGGAGAATCCTGAGGGAGCTGGGAAGGGTTTGGAGAATCCTGAGGGAGCTGGGAAGGGTTTGGAGAATCCTGAGGGAGCTGGGAAGGGTTTGGAGAATCCTGAGGGAGCTGGGAAGGGTTTGGAGTGTCCTGAGGGAGCTGGGAAGGGTTTGGAGAATGGAGCTTCAGGAGGGGCTTAGGGAGCTGGGAAGGTTTGGAGAATCCTGAGGGAGATGGGAAGGATTTGGAGGATCCTGAGGGAGCTGGGAAGGGGCTCAGCCTGGAGAAAAGGGGGATCAGGGGTGACTCTGTGGCTCTGCACAGCTCCTGACATGAGGGGACAGCCAGGGGGATTTGGGATTTTATCCCAGGGAACAGGGACAGGAGGAGAGGGAACGGCCTCAGGCTGGGCCAGGGGAGCTCAGTTTGGGTTTTGAGCACAATTCCTTCCTGGAAAGGGCTGTCCAGCCCTGGCACAGCTGCACAAGTCCCCTGGTCTTGGGGTCTTGGGGACCTCCAGGGACTGGTGAAGTTCCCATCCCTGGAGGGATTTAAAAGCTGTGGGGATGTGGCATTTGGGGACAGGCTTTAGTGGTGGTTTTGGGGACACTTGGATTCAATGATCTTGGAGATCTTTTCCAACCTAAATGATTCCAAGCTTCAGGGATTCTGTGCCCATCAGAAGCAGCTCATCAGGGTGCTAATGAGGCTGCGGGACAGTTTTTGTAAACTCCTCTCTGGAAAGTTCAGCCCCTGGAATAAATAACCTAAATTAAACTGTTGTGTGGAGCTGATGCCTCAGGTTTGAGCTTTTCTATTTTTCACATTCTGAGCTGCTTTAGTGTGTGGGTCTGGGTTTCACATTATGGGATGCTGAGCTCTCCTCACAGAGCAGGAGACAAAACAATTGCTGCTCCAGCTGGGCACCAAGGACAAATGATCCAAATCTCAGCCCAGGAGCACAAACACCGTGGGCTGGAGAGAGAAAAACAAGCAGGATGGGACTGCCTGGGCTAAAGCTGGAATGGGACAATGAACTCCAAGGTGCCAATGGAGCAGAACTGATCCCAGGGAGAGCCCCCGGGAGCGCTCGTGCATTTTGGGGCCATTTTGGGTCATTTGGGTGCAGCCCTGGCTGGGCTCTGGTGCTGCCCAAGGTGGGTCCATGGAGGAAATCCTTGAATAAATCCCTGCTTTATTCTGTGACTCTGCCCAGCCTCTGCTCCAGCTCAGCCTGCACAAGGCATCAGAGCAAGTGCCCTGATAAGCCAAAATGCTTTTGCCAGGATTTTTAGGGAATTGGGTGACACCCACCCACCCATCGCTGGCAAAACCCCTCTGGCCATTCCAAACTCTGCCCACTCAGGGATTTCACCACCTCAGACATAACACAGAGCTCCAGGACTGGCAGAGCTCTGCTCGAGCTAGAAAGGGACACAATCATCTGTAAATTTTGAATAGAGATTTCGCACGTGAATGTTTTAATACCAAAGGCTAAGCAAGCATCAGTTCCACAGTCAACATCCATAAAAATAGCAGCGGCAGAAAAGAGGCACTGCCGGGCTGGGAGTGAAAGGCCACATCCTGATGGCCCCTTTGTCACCTGCGCAGCCCTGTTTGTGCAAGCGCCTTTTAAAGGTGCTCTCCGTGGAAAGGGCAGTTTTAAAGCATCGTTAAAATGTGTTCAAACAGGAAAAGAACAGCTTTAACCCCAGCTGTTACATCTGGCCCTGAAACGGTTTGCATTCCTTTGTGGTCGGAAGGCACCGGTGGGTGCCAGAACAGCGACTTTGTTTAGTGAGGGAGATGTGCCCGGAATCCGGGAAAATCCGGGGGAGGAAGCATTTCTGACACTTTTATTTCTAGGTTCGAAAGTAGATGTTTGCGAGCGACATTAAGCTTTTTTAATCTCTGGAACAGAATAAACGACACAAAGGTGAGCCTCATGACTGGCAGGGCCGTGCTGTATTCCGGGCATTTCAGATTAGGTTTAGTGAAGCTGTCTGTCCTTTCTGCAAACCCCTCACCTGACACCTGCGGGTACCTGCTGGGTGTGAAATCCCCCCAAATCCCCTCTCCTCCCGCTGGAACACCGCGCTGCGGCTCCAGCTCCTTCCCACTCATCCTCTTGGAGCCGGGATGCTCGCAGGGAGCTGCCGGCGCCCTTGGCAGGATAACCGCGCTGCAGGGCTGTCTGTCGCGATGGAGGGTGCGCTGTAAAGTCTGTCTGTCGCGACAGAGGGCTGCGATAAGAAGCCGCTCTGTGCGGGGCAGCTCTGGCGCATCTCGCAGCGCATGACGCCAGCGCCGGGAAAAGCCAGGGAAAGACGGAGATCCAGGGAAAGACGGAGATCCAGGGAAAGACGGAGATCCAGGGACACAGCTGGCGTGCCGGAGGTGCCAGCCGGCTCCATCCCACGGGTTTTCCCCGGGCCGGCTCCGCCGCTCCTCCTCCCGCAGCGGCTGCGGCAGCGGGCGGGGCGCAGGGACCGGCCCGGGGCCGCGGAGAGAGCGGGCGGGAGGTGAGGAACGGGGAGGAGGGAAGGAGGAGGGAGGGAGGGAGGAAGGGAGGGTGAAAGGTGGGGATTTAAGCACGGGCAGCGCCGGGCTGGGGAGCTGCGGTGCGCGGAGCGGAGGTGAGGGAGGCGCGGAGCCGCGGTGCGCTGCAGCCCGGTGTTGTGCATCCCGGTGCTCTGCATCCCGGTGCTCTGCATCCCGGTGTTGTGCATCCCGGTGTTCTGCATCCCGGTGCTCTGCATCCCGGTGTTCTGCATCCCGGTGCTCTGCATCCCGGTGTTCTGCATCCCGGTGTTCTGCATCCCGGTGTTGTGCATCCCGGTGTTGTGCATCCCGGTATTGTGCAGCCCGGTGTTGTGCAGCCCGGTGTTGTGCATCCCGGTATTGTGCAGCCCGGTGTTGTGCAGCCCGGTGTTCTGCAGCCCGGTGTTCTGCAGCCCGGTGTTCTGCAGCCCGGTGTTGTGCATCCCGGTGTTCTGCATCCCGGTGTTCCCGCAGCCCGGTGTTGTGCATCCCGGCATTCCAGCATCCCGGTGTTCCAGCAGCCCGGCATTTCTGCATCCCGGTGTTCCCGCATCCCGGTGTTGTGCATCCCGGCATTCCAGCATCCCGGTGTTCCCGGTACCGGCGCTCATTCCCCGCTCAGCTCTGCTCGCCCAAGGACATCGCTGCGGAGCCGCGTCCCGGAGCATCCCCCAGGCAGGGGCCGCTGTCACGGCGAGTCCCCCCCGGCGGCTCGGTAAGGAGCGGGGGGAAGGCCCGGGAGCGGGGCTGGCAGCCGCAGAACCCCGGGGCTGCCTCTCTGTGCCTCCCTCAAGGGAGCCGGAGGTGTTCCTGCCGCACCTGCAGCCTCCACCGAGCGCTCCGGGTTTTGGGGCGCCCCTACCCGGGGCAGGGGTACAATGAGATCGGCTTCAAGGTCCCTTCTAAGCCGGACCGTGCCGCGATTCTGTGACTTGTTGCTGCAGCCCTGCAGTCTGGGATTTATTCCCAGGTGGCAGGAAGATGGTTTGCCTTAGGGATTCCCTAAAAACAGTCAAACAGCCGGGAATGGGAAGGTCGCGCTGGGCGGGGGGATGGAGGAGGGAAGGAAGGTGGCTGTGCTGCTCACGCCGCTCTGTTGGGAATGATCATTGCTGGAGGGTTTTTCCTCTCTGGTTTTCTCCGAGTTGCTGGTGGCTGCCTTCATTGGGAAGCAGGTGCAAGTCCTGCCTTCCCTGTTGGATAAACCCTGGATAATATGGAGGAGAATCCCTGCAATAAATGCTTAGGTTCTGCTTAGTCAGCACAAGGCTCTTTGGGGGATTTTAATGTGGATTTTAATGCTTTAGGAATTGGGATGCTGGGTTTTCTTTCTCTGATGAATATCACGAGTATGGTACAAATAACTGCAATTCCACGAGTGCTTGGAGTGATTTCTGGTGCAGGTTTAGTGGGGAGAAGCAGGGAAGCTGTGCATGGAGCATGGACGTTATTCCAAGATTCCAGCTGGAATGGGAGATGTTGAAAAGCTGCCTGGGGAGCAGCCTGGGCCCATGGCAATGCTTGTGCCACCCCTCTGTGCCCAAAAAGCACCCACAGAGCTGCAGCTGGCTGGGAGGCAGCCAGGGATCTGCTCTGGGTCCTGCCAAGCCACATTTTATGGAGCTTTTCATTTGTTTTATGGATATCAACAGCTTTGTGTGTCCAAACCTGTTTGCTCACAGCGAGGAAGTGCCTGCAAAGGAAGATGTTCCTCACTGCATAGATGGGGTTAAATCTGTGAAAAAAAAGTGCATCTCCCCTTTTATTTCTTATCTGTTGCAAGAACCTCAGTCCATTTTTGCTTTTCCTCTCTCAGAGCAGTGACTGGAGTGGTGCAACTCTGCTTCTTCCTTTGATGAGATCTCAGGGGAGATGCACTTGCACAAGAGTTTGGTCTCATTTTCCACTAATACCTGTCATAGCTGTGACAATATTCACCTCCTCACGTTGCACACAACCCAAGCTGTTACTTTCAGCTGCCTCAGAAATGACTCAGAGCAAAGCAAAGAAGTCTGAATAAAATAAGGGCTACAACTGAAAGTAGATCTTATTTTAGAGCCCAGACATCTCAGTTGTTGTGTTGGTAGATTGATGTGTTTACACAACCTCCTGAACTTGGAAGCCTTTGAAGGATGTAGATGATGTCCCAAATCTCACAAGGAACTGAGGTTTGTCACCAGCAGCAAATGAAAACCCCTCTGAGATATTCCTGGTGCAGCTCTTTAAGAACTCTTAATTTTTAAGTGCTGGCAATTTAAACCTGGTGCTGGCCTTTATTCCTAAATTTGGGGTTTTGGTTGGGAATAGTTCTGCTCAAAACCATGTCCCTAAATTATACTTAAAATAGAGGGGAAGGTTTCCCTTCCCCTGGGATTCAATTTGCCATTTTCCCATCTTCTCTGGCAGAGCTGCTCTCCTGCTCTGCCCCAAGGTACAAATCCTGGCACAGGGGGACGAGCCAGAGCCCAAACCATGCCCAGGAAAGCTGGAAAGGAAGGGATCTGTGCCTAAACTGCAAGGAGCAGCTGGTTATGTAAGGAAACAACTGAGGAAACTTCAGGGGAGGGAAGAGCAGGAAAATTGTTGAAAAATTAATTTAGCCTTGGAAGAAAATGGGACAGAGCTGCTCCAGGAATGTTGTTACAGAGAAGCTGCATCTTCTCTTTTTTCTGTTCCTGAGTAAGGAGGGGATTGAGCACTGATAAATCAGCCAGGCTGCAATGTCAGGGCTTATTTCGAGCTGTGCCTTTGCTGGGAGCAGCCTGTCAGGGGGCAGGTAAGGCACTAAATCAGCCCAAATTTAACTGCTTCCAACTGCTGTGCTGCCATTGAATGCTCAGAAGCTTCTCTCCAAATGAGACCTCTGTGGGTGCTGCAGAGCAACCTCTGCATTCCTGAGGGTCAAAAATTGGTGGATCTCATTGGAAAGGAGTTTTCCATATGGTTGTAGGTCATCCTGAACCCCATCTGTGCACTCAGCTTAACTGAAGGAGAAAATCCAGCAGCGCTCTGGGTGTTGTCCCACACAGCTGACAGAATCCTCTGCTCCAGAATCCAGGCAGAGAAGGAGCTGAATTCCAGCACCAAATCCTGTTTTGGGAGCCCAGAATTGCAGCAGGAGGAGCAGACACACAGATCAGGGTCCAGGTGGGGACGAGGAAGTCGGCTCAGACTTTGTGCAGGTGTGGCACTGCCACTCCACGAAGGGGTTGAGGTTCCTGGGGTAACAGGAAATCTTCCTGGACAGAGAAATCTCCTGGGCTTTGTGTGCATTATGTGGCGTTTGAAAGAACCAAAATATCACCTGTGTGCTGCCACTGAGGCCAGCAGGGAGGAAGTTGGGGTTAAAGATTTGGAAGATGCTGGAATTCCCTCTCCTGAGGCAGGTAAAACAGAAATAGGGCTGAAAACACCATTGCTCTCTCTGCTTTACCCCTTCCACTCGTGGAAGATTCTTTTTTTTTTCTCCAGCAAAGCCCACAGGCTCAGCCAAGCCATGCTCACCCATGTGTGGGTGAATTCCAAATTCTGGGAACTTGGATTCTGGGAATTCAGCCTCAGAATGGCTGAGTCATGTGCAGCACCAACATTTCCCCAGCTCAGCCCCTCATCCTGGCGTTGCACAGGACATGTGGAAGGGATTTGGGTTAGGGTTAGGGTTATTTGGAGCTCTCTGATGGATGGCCAAGGGTGCTGAGGGAGAGAAACCGGGATTGCTTCGCTCTGCTGCGCGAATTCCAGAATTCCAGGGCTGGTTGTTTATCCAAATCTGCAAGACAAGGTGGTTTTCCAGGTGCAGCCTTGTCTTCAAGCCTTACCCCTTCCACTCCTGGAAGATATATACTGTCACACTGTGACACGAAATAACTCACAGAAGCAGGCTAAAAGGAAAGAAAAAGAACTCAAAAAAGTAAACTTTATTTTCTGACTTTACTATGTATACAATAGCAAAAGTGACAGTGGATTGGAGGGTGAAACTGCCACCTCTCCAACCACACTGGTCAAACCAACAGTCTATTAATTCTCTCTACCTACAAAGAAGAATGTAAAACAATCATTATTTACATGAACATGTGTGACAAAACTCTGTTAAAATATGTAAATATCAGAAGGCATAGGAACTTTTAGAAGAACTTTAAAACTCTCAAAAGAACAGGGTGACAATATATATTTTTTTTTCCAGCAAACCCCACAGGCTCTGCTGTGCACTCCAGAATTCCAGGGAGGTTTATTTATTCAAATCTGCCAGGCAAGGTGGTTTTTGAGGTGCTTCTTGTCCACAGTGGGAGCTGTGCTTGGATTGTTGCTGCTGGAATTTTCTCCCTGGGAGGACAAGCTGGAGGTGGTGATCCCAGGAAATTCTGGGATTTGAAATTCCCAGAACAGACTGAGGTGGTGATCCCAGGAAATTCTGGGATTTGGAATTCCCAGAACGGGCTGAGGTGGTGATCCCAGGAAATTCTGGGATTTGCCCATTTAGCTCCTAATATCCAAAATTATTTGCAGATCAGACAACTTTAAATTCAGTCTGGCATTCGCCTGCCTACACCTGCCTACATGTGGGTGCTCAGGGCTGGTGGGGCTGGAACCCCCTCAGGGACTTGTGGAAGGATTTTATTTAACATCCAGCATGAGAGGGAGATTAAATAAAAAATCCTGAGGGAATTTTTATTTAAGGATGCTGCAAACCCCATCCACTCTTGCTGCTGGGCTATCCCGGCAATTATTCAGCAAATGGCCATTTTTAGCCGATTAAATATTTGTATTTTGGGGATGGATTGATTGTTTGCTGCTTTTATTTCTCACCTCGTCCCTGCTTTCCATTTAAAGCAGCAGAGATCACCTGTTGAATGATCATGAGGCCATCTCCAGGCTTTGCTTTTCCCCACTCCAGGTGAACTTTTCCTGAATATATGCTGGAAACTCTTTTTCTCTGGATGTGTAACTCGACCAACCCCTCCTGCTGAGGGCATCAAGTGTTTTTCAAGCATTCTTTGGAAACCAGTCTCTCCCAGTTCCCCTGCAAGAATGTTTCTTCCCACAGGAATTTCCCAGCAGGAGCTGTCCGGCCACAGGTCAGATTGAAAATGTGACCAAATTCCCCAAATCCCAGCTGCTCAAAGCAGAAATTACATATTAAAGCACCTAACACTGGCATCTTCTAACTCCCAACTAGCTCTGCCTCTGGAAGATAAGGTCATTAATAAAGAAATTTGGGAGATTAGGCATGCTCTGAAATGACACCTTGATATTTGGATGATGATTTATCTTTTCAGCTGCCCTAATCAGAGACATGTGTCAACAAGCAAGAAAATCAGGCAGCCACTTAAAACACTAAAAGCTGCTTTACAGGTTTCTCTTCTTGCAATTTTTTTTTCTCTCTTGGAGGTGCAATGTTGAAAATAATCTGAATATTGCCTAACAGGAGCTGAATTCTCTTCATTTCATTCATAGCTGACTGTAACAGTCCCGTGGCACCAACACCACTGAATGTTTCAATCCAAATTTGTAGACAAATGAATGTTAAAATTGCATAAGAACAAATGATCTCTGGAACAGTGAGAAGTGATAGTGAATAACTCGGGGTCCTTTAAATTGGGAGTGCCAGTGGAATAGAATAAAACACAGACATGGAAGTGAAGCCTCTCTAGGACAAATCCTGTTTAAAATACAGATTTTTAGCCTCCAGATTTTTAGATTTAGTTTGCCTAGTAATCTGCTATTCCCTATGATTGCTGCTGATTAATTTGGGTGGTAAAGCTGCCACAGACCTCTGGAGATGTGGGTTTGGGGCTCCTCCTTACTCCTCATAATGTGCCCAGAGGGATGGAAATTGTCCCTTCCCCGAGGGATCTGTGTGACCGTGCCACCGGGGAGCCTTGACTCTCATTGCCTCAGCAGCTGCTTTAAAATGTTTTTGGGTTTTTTTTCCTTTCCCCTCCTGTGTTTTCCTTTATCAATGATGCAGCTGGAGCTGTGTTTTCCCTGCACAGCAGGAAGTGCAGGGGAAGTGTGTCAGTGGTGAGGGCACAGACTGCAATTTGCTTTTGCCTTTTACTTAGCCCAACCTCCAGCATTCATTAGGAGACCACAGAGCAGGAAGGCAGCTCCTGTTCCTCCTGGAATTCCAGAGTGCCTGGGGATGGAATTACTGCCTGCACTGGCAGCTGGGAGAACCAAAGAAAGCCAGGCTGCTGCAAGGAAATGCAATCCCCAGGCTGGAAAAAAAGGTGCCAAGGGCTTTGCTTAAACTCAAAGGGCTGCTCATCATTTTAACTGCCTCATCCTTTATTCATGTGGCTCTCCAAGGGGTAATGGTGAGGCTGCAGCCTGGAATATCTAAAATCAGCCTCGAGGATGTTTTTCCTGCCTGTGGCAGTCCTTATCCAGCTCTGGTCCCTCAGACACCCCCAGCAGTGCTCCAGCCTTGCAGCTCCTCTGGGCAGGCCTTGGGGTCAGCAGGGATGAGTTTAACAGCACAGCCTGAACCCCAGTGTAAATCCCATAATCCTGGGAGTGTGGGGGCCCTTCTTCCTCTTCCTCTTCTTCCTCTTCTTCCTCTTCTTCCTCTTCTTCCTCTTCTTCCTCTTCTTCCTCTTCTTCTTCCTCTTCTTCTTCCTCTTCTTCTTCCTCTTCTTCTTCCTCTTCTTCTTCCTCTTCTTCCCAGACTGGAGGGGTGGGAGGTGTCCAAGCCTCTTTGTTCTGGCATTTTAGGCAGCACGAGGGTAGAAGAAAATGGGACATTGGGAGGTTTTCCAGCAGGGAAATCTGATGAATTCCCTATGGACTGATCTGCTTGGAACATCCTTAAACCCCAAAATAACAGAATCCCTCTGTAAAGCCTTGAACACTTTCTTATCATTCTATTTTCTCTAAATAGATGCTTTTAGCCTGCATTTAGAGATTGTTTCAAATGCCAAGAAGAACATTTAACAATGAACAGTGAAGGCAAACCCTAGTTCCTGTTTAATTCTTGCTCAGCCATTCCCTTTTCCAAGTGGAGCCGGGAACAATGAATGCATAAAGGCATCACCCAAGAGGGAAATCTTTCCTAGACTTGTAATAAATTTCCATTAAATATTCTTTTTATCTCTATAATTTTTCATTTCTTTGGAATAAGCTGCAAAAAAAATCCTTCTGCAATCAGTGATTACTTTTTTCTCCCTCTCTCTTTCGTAACTTGGCTTTTCTTTATTCCCAACAACTGCAGAGCAATAAAAATGATTATCAAAAGTAAGCAGAGGAGTTGTTACAGGGCAATTATTTTAATCTTATCTTTATTCCGGGGCATACATAGAATTTATGGAACTTTTCTGGAACTGATGGAACAGTTATGGAATTTATGGAACATTTCTGGAATTGATGGAAGAGTTATGGAATTTATGGAACATTTCTGGAAGCTGGCCCAAAGCCTTTCCTTTTAAATGCCTATTTCCCTGATCTCCACAGGGAATGAACAGGAAAACACACTTGGAATGTGGGAATTGATAGACTCACAGGAAGGTTTGGGTTGGAAGGGATTTCAATCCTCCAGTCCCACACGTACCATGGGCAGGGACACCTTCCATTATCCCAGCTTGCTCCAACATGACCTTGGACACTCGCAGGGATGGATCAGGCACAGCTTTTCTGGGAAGTGGGAATGCCCAGCAGCTGCAGAAGCCAAGAGTTCCCTTTGATGCAGGAGAGCTGGTGGCACTGCCACCTCGGAAACGAGATTGTGTATCAGTTCCACAGGATACCCCAGCTGTAATCCCCATTTCCCTGCCATTCCACGTGCTCTCCAACCCCCTGGAGCTGAAGATGGACGTGAAGAGGGCAAAGGACTGTCGCCCTGATTCTTAAGATTTCCTAAAGCCTTCTGAGTTTACATTCTGTTGGAGAACTTTCTCACACAACTTTCTATAAACAACCTATTGTTTACATTCCTTCATAGGGGTGGAGAAACTTGATGTACTGGTAGTTTGTCCAATGTCATAGGAGAGGTGGCACATTCACTCTCCAATCCACTGTCACCTTTGGAAAAGTATAAATGATGGAGTCAGAAAATAAACTCTCTCTTTTTCACCTTGCAATAGCAGCAGCTCGCGTCGTGCTTTCACGTGTCCTACAGTGACAAAGGACTCCCTGTACTGGATGTGCTACCACTGTAATCCCTATTTCCCTGTAATTCCAGGTGCTTTCCAACCCCCCCAGAGCTGAAGATGGACGTGAAGAGGGTGAACCTGTACTGGCTGTACTCCCAGCTGTAATCCATATTTCCCTGTCATTCCAGGTGCTCTCCAACCCCACTGGAGCTGAAGATGGACGTGAAGAGGGTGAAGGACTACCTGTACTGGCTGTACTACCAGTACCAGCTGGTGACCTGCAGCTACGTGCTGGAGCCCTGGGAGCAGTCCATGTTCCACACCATCACCGTCACCGTGCTGGCCATGGTGGTGTACACAGCCTACGTCTTCGTGCCCATCCACGTCCGCCTGGCCTTGCAATTCTTCTCCCAGATTTTCGGGCCCCAGGCCGAGAGCGCCGTGCTGAACTGAGCCGGGCCCAGCAGGGCCCTGCAGCTCTGTGAAATGCTGATCCTGCTGAAGTTTGGCCCTTAGGACAACCCTGCCTGCTTCTCCTCCGGGCTTGGAGAGCGGAGAGAGTCACCCAGCACGGCCCCTCTTCCATAAACGCTCTGGGAATGGCACCCAGCTCCTGGAAGGGCACAGGATCCACGCAGCTCCAGGTCCTGGAAGGGCACAGGATGCACGCAGCTCCAGGTCCTGGAAGGGCACAGGATCCACACAGTTCCAGGTACTGGAAGGGCACAGGATCCACACAGTTCCAGCTCCTGGAATGGCACAGGATCTACACAGCTCCAGGTCCTGGAATGACACAGGATCCACGCAGCTCCAGCTCCTGGAATGGCACAGGATCCACACAGCTCCAGCTCCTGGAACAACACAGGATCCACACAGCTCCAGGTCCTGGAACAACACAGGATCCACACAGCTCCAGGTCCTGGAAGGGCACAGGAACCACACAGCTCCAGGTCCTGGAAGGGCACAGGATCCACGCAGCTCCAGGTCCTGGAACAACACAGGATCCACACAGTTCCAGCTCCTGGAACAGCACAGGATCCACGCAGCTCCAGGTACTGGAATGATACAGGATCCACGCAGCTCCAGGTCCTGGAAGGGCACAGGATCCATGCAGCTCCAGGTCCTGGAATGGCACAGGATCCACGCAGCTCCAGGTCCTGGAAGGGCACAGGATCCACATAGTTCCAGGTCCTGGAAGGGCACAGGATCCATGCAGCTCCAGCTCCTGGAATGACACAGGATCCATGCAGCTCCAGGTCCTGGAAGGGCACAGGATCCACGCAGGTCCCACCTCCAGCAGCAAACCCCGTTCCCTATTCCATCCTTGCTCAGCCAGGCTCTTTCCCAGTGCTGCTTTAGGGTTTGTTGCTTTGAGGGACAGCCAAGTTCTGCTGCCCCAAACTCACTGTGAGCACCAGACTGGAGGGGTGTGAGGTCTCCAAGCCTCTGTGTTCTGGCATTTTAGGCAGCACGAGGGTAGCAGAAAATGGGACATTGGGAGGTTTTCCAGCAGGGAAATCTGATGAATTCCCTATGGACTGATCTGCTTGGAACGTCCTTAAACCCCAAATAACAGAATCCCTCTGTAAAGCCTTGAACACTTTCTTATCATTCTATTTTCTCTAAATAGATGCTTTTAGCCTGCATTTAGAGATTGTTTCAAATGCCAAAAAGAACATTTAACAATGAACAGTGAAGGCAAACCCTATTTCCTGTTTAATTCTTGCTCAGCCATTCTCTTTTCCAAGTGGAGCCGGGAATAATGAATGCATAAAGGCATCACCCAAGAGGGAAATCTTTCCTAGACGTGTAATTTCCATTAAATGTTCTTTTAATCCACAAAATTTCTGATTCCTTTGGAAATGAGCTGCATCCACCTGCTCTGGCAGAGGCTGTTTTGGTGGCTCCTCACACCCAAAGTTCTACCAACACAATCCAGGGGCCAGGTTAGAGGAGATAAAAAATGAGGATCTCCAGCAGGATTGGAGCTCCTGGCTGGCTGGTTGGTGACTTCCAGGCTTCAATGGATGGGAGAGAAACTTGGAAGAGAAGGCAACAGGAGGATGAACTTAAATCCAGCTTTTTTCACATCTAAGTTTCTGCAGCTGAGTTCAGATGGTCTAAAATAATTTTTTTTTTTTTGGAAAAAAATTCTCCATCTCATCTTGCAGTTTAGTGAGGATGACAGGAAGAAGCAGCCCTGCTCTGTCTCAGTGCCCTTTGCCTTCTCTGGTGAAAATCAAAATCTTTTCTTGCTGCTCCCACTCACCAAGGCAGCAAAGTGCAAATCAGCACCAGGGGAAGAGGCTCCAGAGTGGAAACAATATTTTAATACCTGCAGGGAAGGCTTAAAGAGATTTCCTTCACAAAGAAGAAATTAGATTTATTGCCATTGCCTGTGGGGAGGTTTTGGAACAGTGGGAGGTTTGTTTGGTTTTCACTCCACACAAATCAAACGTGGGTGCCAAATCATAAATTACAGCTGCACTCTGCACATCTCTACCAGCTGATGCTCCTGTTAGTAGAAGTGAGAGTGCAAAATGTAAATAGCTTTCAAATGATGTTTGCACAGTTCTAGATTAAAAAGAAAACCCTCTTAACTTCTTTCTCAAGCTGCAGTGGGCTCCTGCATGCTTCAGAGAACAAATTTGTTTGGAAACGAAGACATGTGGTGAAGGTTGCTCAGATCTGAACATGTGTATGCAGTTTTTTCAGCCAAAAAAAGAATAAAATTTTATTCTTCAGAAACAACCTCTGGCTGCATGACTCAGCTCTTCTGTGCTTTCCACTCATTCATAAATACTCTGGATGTGTGTGGGCCAGGCTGGCACTGTGGCTGAAGGATTATTTTGTGGTGAATGTTTTGGGGTGAGGCTTGAGAATCTTTTAAGTGGATCTGGGGTGAACTCCAGCCAAAGAACTCTCCTCTTTCTGGAGGAAAAAAAAACAAACCTGCTCTGATCTGCTTCAAATTAAGGCATTAACAAATACCTGAGTGTGCTGAGGGCTCAGCTGGGAGCTTTGGGCTCCAACAGGAGCTGTCCTGACAGTTTATCACAGTTGGGAACCTGCAAACACGAGGTGCCGAGCTGTAATCACACCCTGAGTAACGAACACAGCACTGGAGGGGATGAAAAATGAAAAACCCTGTGACAATTCCTCTCCAAAGTGTCGGTAAAATAGAGTCAAAGTTATAATCCCAACGTTGCAGGTGAAAAGTGGGAATATTTACTTAGCAAGTTGGTATAAATTCTATCTCCAAGATTCTATCTCCAAAGATTCTGCTCATCTAGAAAATATGATGGTGCAAGTGCCAGGGAACTTCCTCATCAGTTCTGCTCCTTAAAAATAACTTTTAATGCCTTAAAAAGTGGATTTTCCCCCCTGATATCAAACTCAGCTTTCAGAGCACAAGGAGAAGTTTTTTCCAGGAATGCAAAGGTTGGAGCTGCTATCTCCAGGAGCACACACCTGATGGAATATTGCTCTTTAAACATTTTATTTGGCAAACAGAACCCGGAGAGGACTTTGTTCCGGATTTCCATTGCCCTCCCATGGTGGGATCCATGCAAAGCACTTTTCTTCCTTATTGTGCCTGTTCCCTTTGTTTGGCTTTGGGAGGTGCAGGAAGGAGCAGGAAAACAGCAGCAGGTGCTTTTTGGGAGGGTTTAACCAAGTAAAAACTCATTTATTGTGTGAATTCTTCACCTTCTTCACTAAATTTTAATGTGTTTAGGCAAGAGGTATTTACTAGGAAGGAAAGAAGCTGCTGAAAACAATCTCTGCTAAAAACCTTTTGAGATTTTCCCAACTCTTTTCACTTCTTGCATCCAGAAAAGCTGGAATAACTCTCCCTATGTAATATTCCAAATCACTGGGTTCCAGCAGAAGACTTCAAAGGATTTCTGGCACTCAGCAAAAAACAGAAGCTTTTTTTTTTCCCCAGCTGAAAGAGAGAGGAGGTGAGATAACACTTTTGAGAGCTTGAGACCACACCACAGCTTAGGAAACTCCTCCAGCTCTGAAATCCTTTTCCCTGAGGAAAAAAATCCATTCCTGGATCATGGGAAGAGGTTTCCATGGGATCCCAGCTGCACACTAAGGTGGGAGGGTGGAAGTTTGGAGCTCCCAGTAACACCAGTATGCCCAGTACGTGGGTCACAGCTCTCTTGTGAGGGTTATGATGTCAGGCTCTTTATAAAAGTCTCTTTTCTCCTGCTTCATTATAGTTCCATGTTAATTGTAGTTAATTGCTTCACTGGGCTAATTGTAGCACAGCAGCTGGAAGTGTTCACACTAAAAATAATCCAAATAAAAGGAGCAAACAGAAGCAATAATCCAGCAGTGGAAAAGGGAACAAAAGCAGAACAGGAGATGATCCAATTCCAGCTGCACTGACCCTGAAAGTACAAATGCCCCATTAATTTAAGGAACAAGAAACATTGGGGCTCAGCTGGCCAGCACCATACACCTCTTGTTTAAAACTCATTTTCTTAATTTCATCTCATCAGAGCTCCCATTTACCCTGCCATAAAGGTTTCCTGGCCAATTTCATGGGTCACCTCCCAAATCCATTACTGAGGGCCACAGCACACCGATGTGCCCAGACCACAAACCTCCAGAACCTTCCTCCAAGGCCCCTGAGGGCAGCTTTTACCCAAAACTATCAAAAACAACTTCCCAAAGCCCCTGTGGGTGGCTTTTACCCAAAACTATCAAAAACAGCTTCCCAAGGACCTTTTCCTTAGTGCTGCTCCCCAGGGAACACAGAGAGCAGGATCAGCACCAGTGGCCCTGCACGTCTGAGTATCCAATTTATTCAGAATTCCAGGGAAAATTCCTGTGCTTATGGAAGTTTGAAATCTTAAATTAGTAGGTTTTTGGGGTTTGTTTTGGTTTGGTTTGGTTTGGGTTTTTTTGGTTTTTTGGGGTTTTTTTTGTGGGGTTTTTTTGTTGGTTTTTGGGGTTTGGTCTTCTTTTTTTCAAGGTTTTCTCATCGTTGTGATTCAGCCATAATCTAAAATTCTTACTTGGGATGCTCCAGTTCTAATTTTAATTCCCTAATTATTTGGAAGTTAGGGGAAAATTCACACAACTGCTTAAGCCATGGCAAAAGAAGCCCAGCAGGTGTAGGAGAATCAGCAGAACCACAAACAGCAAATCACAGTCGTGCAGCATCAGGGACAGCCAAAATTGGGACAATTCTCCCAGATGAATTTCTGCACCCCGGGGCACAGACGTGGACAAGTGGCCACGTATCAGTCTGAGCACTGAAATCAAAGCAGAACAGGCAGATTTGCAAATGAACTCTTACAGAACGTGGAATAATTAACTTTCTCTTAATCACATACAATGATCAATATTCATGCAGCAAAAGCAGCCCTGTCCTCTAACCCCTACCCAAATAATTGCAATTATTCTTCCCTGAAACACCAAACATCAGCTGAATATCCTGAATTCCTACCACAAACTGAAAAGCTGGGAAGTGAGGAGCAAAGTTGGACTCCAAGTGCAGATTCTCAGATCCAACATCAAACCACCCAAAGCAGCCCTGCTGCAAACTCGTCGTAGTCAAGGGAATCAAGGAGCTGCAATTAATGAAATGTTCAGGGGGAATAATCCCAGGAAATTGAGAATTCAGGGTTTGTGAGCTGACCAAGGAGGTCTGATGCCTCCTGAGGTGCTCCAAAGGCTGGAGCTGAGCTTATCCCACGACTCCACCAGGAGCAGATAGAAGGAAATTGGTTTCTCTTGGCTCTGTCCTCACAGCCAGCGAGGAAAACCCAGCCTGCACCAAAGAAAGTCTCTTGCTCCAAAGCACCATCAGCTTTGTCCTTCATATTCCT